TTGTAAGTAGGAAAACCTGCAAAATCGGCAGTGTATCAAATACTTGTTCTCCCCACTGTATATATATTAAAAATATATATCTATTCAAATATCTTGCATATCTTAATTTCCATCATTATCAATTAATATGCATAATAATATCTGCAGTTCACGCGAAGGATTGTTACCTATAACCCGGATTGCCATTGTATTACATTACATTTGTGTCAAGCAATTATTATTTTAGCAAACAATTATTGTAGTTGATCCTATATTCTCCCTAACATCCTTATCCCCTTGCAACAGATGTGGGATACATACACACACACACAAACACACACGCACGCGCACACACTCACACACGCACATACTCTTACACACTCAACCCCTTTCCTCCACAATCAACCATAAGCTCAGATGCTCAACGGTTGTTACATCCCAGAGCCCAACTCAAGAAAGGACCTGATTTACGAATGCATATACAGCTGTTTGAGAAAGGATGCAAGATTGAGCAAAAATGTACAAATATTTGAGATTTGATTAACCTATGTCAAGTCCTAGGTGATGGAGATCAGATCCACCTTCTTCCCCTGCCTGAAAAACAAACACTCTAGTCCCCCTTTGTAACCATTTCCCCAAGCATCTCCGTGCAGTCAGACCTTTGATTATTTTGTGCCACCAGGGCCACAATAATATGCCCCCTCTCTGATTGTCAGAGTGTGACCCCTTCCCCATGGGTTACTGCAGCCAGTGTTACCTGGATGGGGGTACCCCACCGGAATCCCCACCGGCTAGGTACAAGTTCATCAAGGTTCTCATTAGCAGCTTTGAGAATGTATTTGTATATTATGCTCTCCCATCAGGGGGCTCTGGCTTTGTAGGACCAACCCTGCCAGGCAGGCTCATAACCTTGAGGGGGCGGTGCTGCTCTAGTAGGTCTCTGACTGCATTTATATTTTTGTTTTGGCTTTATATAGGCAACTTACAGAAGGGCCATAAAACAGATAGGGACTTCTTTTTGGTGTATGGGTCGCTCAGGTGGGTGTCTAGGACATAGGGTTGGGGACCGTTCCATCATGATAGGATAATCAAAAATAGATTAGATGTATACTTCATTTAAAAATGTATATCCCTCATCTGCACAAAATTGAATGCTCTCTCTCACAACCCCTGCTCACAGACATGCATTGGTTCTGGGACATGCAACCATTTCCTTTCTCACTCACTTAACGTCACACTTTTCCCAACACAAAAACGCACACCACACCTTCATCACAATACATCCACACATACCCACATACTGTGCCTTCTATGTCTTCTGTTTGCTATGGTTTTATCTCCACTATGTTGATTGAGTACTTGTGTTCTAATTAGTTACAGTGCCTTGCAAAAGGAAAAATGGTACGTGCAAATGGTACGTATTTACACCCTTTGCTATGAAGCCCCTAAATAAGATCTGGTGCAACCAATTACCTTCAAAAGACACATAATTAGGTAAATAAAGTCCACCTGTGTGCAATCTTAGTGTCACATGAACTCAGTATATATACACCTGTTCTGAAAGGCCCCAGAGTCTGCAACACCACTAAGCAAGGGGCACCACCAAGCAAGCGGCACCATGAAGACCAAGGAGCTGTCCAAACAGGTCAGGGACAAAGTTGTGGAGAAGTTCAGATCAGGGTTGGGTTATAAAAAAATATCTGAAACTTTGAACATCCCACGGAGCACCATTAAATCCATTATTAAAAAATGGAAAGAATATGGCACCACAACAAACCTGCCAAGAGAGGGCCGCCCACCAAAACTCACGGACCAGGCAAGAAGGGCATTAATCAGAGAGGCAACAAAGAGACCAAAGATAACCCTGAAGGAGTTGCAAAGCTCCACAGCAGAGATTGGAGTATCTGTCCATAGGACCACTTTAAGCCATACACTCCACAGAGCTGGGCTTTACGGAAGAGTGGCCAGAAAATAGCCATTGCTTAAAGAAAAAAAGAAGCAAACACGTTTGGTGTTCGCCAAAAGGCATGTGGGAGACTCCCCAAACATATGGAAGAAGGTACTCTGGTCAGATGAGACTAAAACTGAGCTTTTTGGGCATCAAAGAAAATGTATGGTGCAAACCCAACAACTCTCATCACCCTGAGAACACCATCTCCACAGTGAAGCATGGTGGTGGCAGCATCATGCTGTGGGGATGTTTTTCATTGGCAGGGACTGGGAAACTGGTCAGAATTGAAGGAATGATGGATGTCGCTAAATACAGGGAAATTCTTGAGGGAAACCTGTTTCAGTCTTCCAGAGATTTGAGACTGGGTTGGAGGTTCACCTTCCAGCAGGACAATGACCCTAAGCATACTGCTAAAGCAACACTCGAGTGGTTTAAGGGGAAACATTTAAATGTCTTGGAATGGCCTAGTCAAAGCCCAGACCTCAATCCAATTGAGAATCTGTGGTATGACTTAAAGATTGCTGTACACCAGCGGATCCCATCCAACTTGAAGGAGCTGAAGCAGTTTTGCTTTGAAGAATGGGCAAAAATCCCAGTGGCTAGATGTGCCAAGCTTATAGAGACTTGCAGCTGTAATTGCTGCAAAAGGTGGCTCTACAAAGTATTGACTTTGGGGGGTGAATAGTTATGCACGCTCAAGTTTTCTGTTTATTGTCTTATTTCTTGTTTGTTTCACAATAACACATATTTTGGATCTTCAAAGTGGTAGGCATGTTGTGTAAATCAAATGATACAAACCCCCCAAAAATCCATTTTAATTCCAGGTTGTAAGGCAACAAAATAGGAAAAATGCCAAGTGGGGTGAATGCTTTCGCAAGCCACTGTATATTTGAAGATGGATTATTTCGCTTGTTATCCTGTCTTGTAATGCCGTCTTATACCTTTATAAAACACTATAAATACAGTAAATGTGTTTTATTATTACAATCTCTACCATGGCTAGTATTGGGTGTTCCATTATTCGACTCCTCTACTAGAACTTTCAGAATAGCCATGGAGTAGTTTTTGTGTCGCGGAACATTTGGTTGTCAATATACAGTTTATCGACTACAAGAGCAACACGCTTCCTTTTTAATCTATTTTCCTTGAAGATTGGGTACAGAACTTTGCGCCGTTCTGAAATCTCCCTCGGGAACTGATCATTCATGCCTATTTTCGTGCCAGCAAGTCTTTTACCTAGGCTTTTAACCATTACTTTATCCTTAAAGAAAGAAAATTTGGCAACGATTGGACGCTCATATCTCTGTCCTCTTTGTCCGAAACAGTGTACACGTTCAAGTTGGATTTTATCAACAGCATCGAGTGGGATTTGAAGCCCTGTAAGAAGAATTCCTTCACAATTTTTTCGGTAACCTCTCCTTCTTTGTCTTGGATACCCGTAAGTACTAGATTTTCTCTCATTGAGCCAGTCTGTATGTCTAGTAAGGCTTCTCTCAGAAAGTTGTTCTCCTTTTTAAGTTCATTAACATCCGTTTCTATCTTAGTAACTGTCCCTTTTAGCTTTTTTGTATCTTTCTCCATTATCGCAGCTTTTTCGTCACTCATTTCAAGACTCGCCTTCAACTCCTTTACATCCTTACTGACCAACTCTAGTATGCCCAGTTTGTCATGTATTGACTTCAACAGATCGCTTTCCTCACTTACCAGTCCCAGTGGTGAAAAGCATAAATAATCTGTATCCGTCGAGGAGTCGCGTTTTCTCTTGGAGATTGATTAACCTTGTTTATCCTCCGTCATGTTTGTTTTTGTAATATTTGTTGATACATTTCTCTATCCTTATGATTTATTATTCAGATTGAATGTTATTACCAACGAGTATATGATATGATATTAAATATTACGTTTTTATCTTGAGGTGATTCGCACCGCTGTGTGTTCAATACGCCATCTTGTCATGTGACCTACCTCCTAATTAGGTTTCCTCAAATGACACTGTAATATCCAGTAGTATTTTTACAATCTTGTAGCTGGCATAATATGGGCATGTTATTCTTCACAATGTTAATGACAATGGATTATTGATCTAGTAGCGGCACACATCAGAAAATGTTTACAATACATTTTTACTGTTCTAAAATTGAATTATGTTCCCTCAAAGTACACCGTAATATACAGTAAACACGTATTTTTCCAATCTTGGAGCAGGCATAATATGGGCATGTTATGCATAAAAAACGACAGAAGTAGGTGATAATCTATCCTCCCTAGAGAAATAGACCAACGATTTGGACATCTCCCTCGACAGTGCAGCCCAGAACAAAGTATTTACCAATGCCCACAGCATCTTGCGTAATACAAAAATTAATCTTATCCAGTACAAAATCGTACATAAATTCACCTATACCAATAGAACTCCGTCCCTGATGGGGCTTGTTGATTCACCCATTGTTTCCATTCTGCCAAAAATACCTTCCCGATACTCACCTCCATACATTCTGGTCTTGTCCCATCATTGAGAATTACTGGAGAAAAGTTCTGAATATTCTCTCAGTTATATTACCATTCCTGCATCTCCATCACTCTGTATACTACAGTACCTTGATAATGACGACCACTGGGTTTATTGTATCTCCAAGGACAAACAACAGTTCCTATTGATTTAATTGACAATCGCCAAAAAAGTGATATTGCTAAACTGGAAAAGCAGATCCAATGTTTTAACCATACACTGGCTTAATTTACTGTCTGACCTGGCCTTCCTGGAGAGATCCATCTTCAAACAAAATAACAAACTGAAGGACTTTAACACAATCTGGGAACCATTCCTATCCTACATTGCCCCCAGGCAACCCCCCAAAAAGTAGCCAAGGCAGGAAGACAAAAACTGTCAGTCGCCACATAGCACTGTCCCCATATCCTGGTGTTTTAACACTGTCCCTTCAAATAAAAACAATGAATGGACGACTCGCTCTAATGCCACCAGAGGGTGCTCCGGCACCACTGGTGAGTGAGAGCAAACCAAACTGTGGGCTACTCGCCACAAGAGCAGGGAACTGATGCACATGCGTCAAATAAAGTTGACCTCTGCATATCTCTCGGCTCCCCATCCCTGGAAGAGCCCCTCGATCTTCGTTCCTGGCACTCCCCTAGGGGTAGTGGCAACAAGGAAGGTGATGACGACAGAAGCTAGGGCGCAGTTCACAAGGAGAATGCAATAAACAGAGTTTGGACCCCACAACTCCACATTGCTCACATAAATTACCTTGAATTCCTGACTGTGTTTCTTTCACTGAAACACTTTCTACCCTCCCTTCAGAATTGTCACATCTTGATCAGAACGGACAATACGACTGTGGTTGCATTTGCTACCTACCTATCTTCAACAGACCTGTATGATTGGTTCTTTGAGCTTTTGAGTTTCAGGTCAATCCCTCATGTGAGATATTTCAGTCATACCATCAGAGAACCTACATAAGTAAACTTGAGTTTTGGTTTGCTGAGTGTATTACCAGTAGGTCACAGAAGAAAGTACTTTACTGATCCAGATTAGGAGAGTGACCGGGACAGCAAACTGGGTCAAAAAAACAAAGTTCATAAATGGCACATTTAGGCATATAAAAAATATGAAACAGAACTAGTCCTTTTTCCATGTGAGAATTTAAGTAATCCATTGGGTTTAAATCATTGAGGAAGAGACAAGTAAAAGGTGATGTAAAATCATCTCAAATGCAATTCACAAGTTATACCACTAATAAGTAAGGGATGGAACATTTACTGTAGTTTTAGTAGCCTTTGGCAAATGTATGGTCACTACTATAGAAACTCATTCACATCAAATGCCATTCAAAACATTGTAAACAGGTACATGAGCCTCGTAGTAATCTATGATCAGGGTCCTATCTACACTGGAATCTAATACCTTTTTCACACTACTGATTTGAGCCAAACCAAGCCGAGTTGTATTGCACTAGCCTGGCTCTTAAGGGTGGGTGTAATAATTAATAAAATGCTTAAGATGCGAGTGCATCGGTCTACGGGACCCTAAACTGATCCAAATGTAGCATGCATTGGCCAGAAAAACGATTAAAACGTTACGAATCGCAGGTTCAATAATGGTTTTTGCTCATAATACTACCTTCCAGTGGTGTAAGGTACTTAAGGGGTATCTGTACTTTACTTTACTATTTATATTTTTTGATTACTTTTACTTCACTACATTCCTAATGAAAATAATGTAGTTTTTACTCCATACATTAGCAGGACAGGAAAATGATGCAATTCACACACTTATCAATAGAACATCCCTGGTCATCCCTACTGCCTCTGATCTGGCGGACTCAGTAAACACACATGCTTCGTTTGTAAATTGTATCAGAGTGTTGGAGAAGTTCCTGGCTATCCGTAAAAAGAAAAAAGAAAAAATGGTGACATCTGGTTTGCTTAATATGAGGAATTTGAAATGATTTATACTTGTACTTTTTACACTTAAGTAAATGAAAATGCTGTTTTACCATAATATAAGTAGCGTAAGCTACCGGTTCGGAGACACAACTCTCATCTGACTACCTGCTGATCGAGGCTTAGCCTACATACAGTATAGATTTTATATTGATTGTTCAGGTTCACCATCATCAGTAGTTCTGATAGTTCTGCTATAAAAAAAAATCTGAATACTTTTTCAATATACAGGGTAAAGTTGATAATTTTATAACGAGGACATCAATCAATTTTGTGAGTAGGTGATGGTGATTTCAGATCAAAAGTGGGGGGACAAAAAGCATAAATTGCCTCCCCTATGGCTCAGCTCAGGTGCCTTGAAGGGTTGTGGTCAATTCAGAATTTTGGAATTGAATCCCATTCAACTCATGAGTTGAAATTCGAATTAAATTGGCCACACAGGACGTAGAATTTGAGTTTGAGTGACAGGAAGCAGAATTTAATTAAAATAAATTCCACTCAGTCATAGAACATCAGAGTTTCATTGAATCTGACAAGTCACACTTTCAGATAACAAAGAATACAGTGAGGGGAAAAAAGTATTTGATCCCCTGCTGATTTTGTACGTATGCCCACTGACAAAGAAATGACCAGTCTATAATTTTAATGGTAGGTTTATTTGAACAGTGAGAGACAGAATAACAACAAAAAAATTTAGAAAAACGCATGTCAAAAATGTTATAAATTGATTTGCATTTTAATGAGGGAAATAAGTATTTGACCCCCTCTCAATCAGAAAGATTTCTGTCTCCCAGGTGTCTTTTATACAGGTAATTAGCTGAGATTAGGAGCACACTCCTAAATGGAGTGCTCCTAATCTCAGCTTGTTACCTGTATAAAAGACACCTGTCCACAGAAGCAATCAATCAATCAGATTCCAAACTCTCCAGCATGGCCAAGACCAAAGAGCTCTCCAAGGATGTCAGTGACAAGATTGTAGACCTACACAAGGCTGGAATGGGCTACAAGACCATCGCCAAGCAGATTGGTGAGAAGGTGACAACAGTTGGTGCGATTATTCGCAAATGGAAGAAACACAAAATAATTGTCAATCTCCCTCGGCCTGGGGCTCCATGCAAGATCTCACCTCGTGGAGTTGCAATGATCATGAGAACGGTGAGGAATCAGCCCAGAACTACACGGGAGGATCTTGTCAATGATCTCAAGGCAGCTGGGACCATAGTCACCAAGAAAACAATTGGTAACACACTACACCGTGAAGGACTGAAATCCTGCAGCGCCCGCAAGGTCCCCCTGCTCAAGAAAGCACATATACATGCCCGTCTGAAGTTTGCCTATTAACATCAGAATGATTCAGAGGAGAACTGGGTGAAAGTGTTGTGGTCAGATGAGACCAAAATGGAGCTCTTTGGCATCAACTCAACTCGCCGTGTTTGGAGGAGGAGGAATGCTGCCTATGACCCCAAGAACACCATCCCCACCGTCAAACATAGAGGTGGAAACATTATGCTTTGGGGGTGTTTTTCTGCTAAAGGGACAGGACAACTTCACCGCATCAAAGGGACGATGGACGGGGCCATGTACCGTCAAATCTTGGGTGAGAACCTCCTTCCCTCAGCCAGGGCATTGAAAATGGGTCGTGGATGGGTATTCCAGCATGACAATGACCCAAAACACACGGCCAAGGCAACAAAGGAGTGGCTCAAGAAGAAGCACATTAAGGTCCTGGAGTGGCCTAGCCAGTCTCCAGACCTTAATCCCATAGAAAATCTGCGGAGGGAAGTGAAAGTTTGAGTTGCCAAACGTCAGCCTCGAAACCTTAATGACTTGGAGAAGATCTGCAAAGAGGAGTGGGACAAAATCCCTCCTGAGATGTGTGCAAACCTGGTGGCCAACTACAAGAAACGTCTGACCTCTGTGATTGCCAACAAGGGTTTTGCCACCAATAACTAAGTCATGTTTTGCAGAGGGGTCAAATACTTATTTACCTTATTAAAATGCAAATAAATGTATAAAATAAAATAAATAATAATAATATGCCATTTACATTTACATTTTAGTCATTTAGCAGACGCTCTTATCCAGAGCGACTTACAGTTAGTGAATACATATTTTTTTATACTGGCACCCCGTGGGAATCAAACCCACAACCCTGGTGTTGCAAACGCCATGCTCTATCAACTGAGCTGCATCCCTGCCGGCCATTCCCTCCCCTACCCTGGACGACGCTGGGCCAATTGTGCGCCGCCCATGAGTCTCCCGGTCGCGGCCGGCTGCGACAGAGCCTGGATTCGAACCAGGATCTCTAGTGGCACAGTTAGCACTGCGATGCAGTGCCTTAGACCACTGCGCCACTCAGGAGATGCCATTTAGCAGACGCTTTTATCCAAAGCGACTTACAGTCATGCGTGCATACATTTTTGTGTATGGGTGGTCCCGGGGATCGAACCCACTACCTTGGCGTTACAAGCGCCGTGCTCTACCAGCTGAGCTACAGAGGACCAAATCAATTTATAACATTTTTGACATGCGTTTTTCTGGATTTTGTTGTTGTTATTCTGTCTCTCACTGTTCAAATAAACCTACCATTCAAATTATAGACTGATAATTTCTTTGTCAGTGGGCAAATGTACAAAATCAGCAGGGGATCAAATACTTTTTTCCCTCACTGTATATACTTTTTCTCTGGAAAAAATGGTCATATACACTTTGTGCTTAGTGCTTAGAATAGCCAATTATATTTCCACCAACCATTTAATTTGTTTGGCTTCTTTGTAAAAGATTTAGGGTCAACTTGAGGGTTAAACTAATGCATTTTGGGAAATGTAGCAGATTGAACAAAATTGAAGTGATTAATGAAATATAATAACTTAGAATATTTGCATACAGGGTTAGTTTTCCCTGATCATTCATTTTAAGAGTTTGTCCTGAAAATCAATTGTTTCAACAATATTTTATATACAGTACATTTATAAAATTACATGTTTGTTTGCTTTATGCACAAGATGTACATAAAGCAGACTACACCTAACATAGAATAGTATAAGCATCTGAATTCAATTATATTTCCTTTAATTCCAATTTGAATTGCAATTCTGTATCCTGTTGACTACTTCAATTCAAATTCAATAATGTATTAGGAATTTGAGGCATTCTCAATACAATTCTGAATTCAGCACAACTCTGGTGCCTACATACACCATAGACGTATACATCATTTATATATACACTCAATGTACAAAACATTAAGAACACCTTCCTAATATTGAGTTGCAATCAGAGTCCATGTATCTAGCACAGTTTGTTTCAGGTTGGCATAATAGTGTGAAAAGGGTTTTAGACCCAAGTCCTACATGGCTATGTCAGTCCCCAAACATAAGGTCATTACTATAGGGATCATTAAGGGGGAGTTGTGAGAGTGCAGTGTTTCTGTCTAGAGTTTAAATACATTGCTCTTTACACAATATATCATTAAATGCTTGTCTTTCACAGTAGGAGGGGTTGAAACTATGGGTGTTTTTTTTTTTACAATTACATAAGGGTTAACATAAGGTGTAGATGTTTTTTGGAGACTTTAAAATATATCTTAAGATGATCTTAGTGTGGAAGATTATCTTTATGTTTTTGGGAAACCCACCCCAGTACAGTATATTTTCAAACATCATTAGCATCAACATCTGCAACCTTGTTTTACCTTGAAGGACAATGTTACCCATCAGTGGTATAAGTGCAGGACTACAGCAGAGAGAGAGAGAATCACCCTTACTGAAAACATATATTTCAAATGATCATTCAACTTAGTAGACATGACTGTGTTATACTATTATTATTAACTCGTTAATTTAAAACAAATCTGGTGAATACTACCATGACAGATAGCAGGATCAGCCAACTACAAATGGGCCTTGCAGATGCTCTGCTCAAGTCACAGCTGCAGTCTTTTCCCTTTGGATGAGGATTGGCTGGAAGGTGGGGTGTGGGCATGGACACTTGTGGACACCTGAGCCAATCCACCGCAATGGATTTTGGAGTGACATTATCTTGGTCCAGTCCTCCTCTCTTCAGCACCCAATAGAGGTTGTCCTTGAAGAAGTAAGCATCTCCTAGAAGGTAACATAATCAAACAATTGGATTAAAATGCTTTGAAAAGCTGGTGGGCTGTTTAATGATTGCGTATGACATTGCAAGCCGAGATGCAGACTTAGATAAGATATTTGGTTGGACATTAAGCAGAGTTGAGATCGAGACAGTATTTTGCACTCTAGTATGTGGCAGGGTATGCAGACAATCACGGACAACAAAAGGAAAACCAGCCACGTCGCCGACACCGACGTCTCGCTTCCAGACAAGCTAAACACCTTCTTCGCCCGCATTGAGGATAACACAGTGCCACCGACGAGGCCCACTACCAAGGACTGTGGCCTCTCCTTCTCCGTGGCTGATGTGAGTAAGACATTTAAGCATGTTAACCCCCGCAAGGCTGCCGGCCCAGACGGCATGCGCAGAGCATGCGCAGACCAGCTGGCTGGTGTGTTTACGGACATATTCAATCTCTCCCTTTCCCAGCCTGCTGTCCCCACATGCTTCAAGATGGCCACCATTGTTCGTGTACCCAAGAAAGCAAAGGTAACTGAACTAAATGACTATCGCCCCGTAGCACTCACCTCTGTCATCATGAAGTGCTTTGAGAGACTAGTCAAGGATCATATCACCTCTACTTTACCTGTCACCCTAGACCCACTTCAATTTGCTTACCGCCCCAATAGATCCACAGATGATGCAATCGCCATCACACTGCACACTGCCCTATCCCATCTGGACAAGAGTAATACCTATGTAAGAATGCTGTTAATTGACTATAGCTCAGCATTCAACACCATAGTACCCCCCAATCTCATCATTAAGCTCGAGGCCCTGGGTCTGAACCCCGACCTGTGCAACTGGGTCCTGGACTTCCTGACGGGCCGCCCCCAGGTGGTGAAGGTAGGAAACAACATCTCCACTTCACTGATCCTCAACACTGGGGCCCCACAAGGATGCGTGCTCAGCCCCCTCCTGTACTCCCTGTTCACCCATGACTGTGTGGCCGAGCACGACACAACAGTAGTAGGCTTGATTCGCAACAATAACGAGACAGCCTACAGGAAGGAGGTGAGGGCTCTGGGAGTGTGGTGCCAGGAGAATAACCTCTCACTCAACGTCAACAAAACAAAGGAGATGAGAGAGGGTGCACCCCCCTATCCACATCGACGGGACCGCAGTGGAGAAGGTGGAAATCTTCAAGTTCCTTGGCGTACACATCACTGACAAACTGAAATGGTCCACCCACGCAGACAGTATGGTGAAGAAGGCGCAACAGAGCCTCTTCAACCTCAGGAGGCTGAAGAAATTTGGCTTGGCACCTAAAACCTCACAAACTTTTACAGATGCACAATTGAGAGCATCTTGTCGGGCTGTATCACCGCCTGGTATGGCAACTGCACCACCAGCAACTGCAGGGCTCTCCAGAGGGTGGTGCGGTCTGCCAAACGCATTACCGGGGGCAAACTACCCGCCCTCCAGGACACCTACAGCACCCGATGTCACAGGAAGGCCAAAAAGATCATCAAGGACATCAACCACCCGAGCCACTGCCTGTTCAACCCGTTATCATCCAGAAGGCGAGGTCAGTATAGGTGCATCAAAGCTGGGACCGAGAGAATGAAAAACAGCTTCTATCTCAAGGCCATCAGACTGTTAAATAGCCATCACTAGCACATTAGAGGCTGCTGCTGCTTATTGAAATCCCTGGCCACTTTAAGAAATGGAACACTAGTCACTTTAATAATGTTTACATATCTTGCACTACTCATCTCATTTGTATATACTGTATTCTATAATATTCTACTGTATCTTAGTCCATGCCGCTCTGTCATTGCTTGTTCATATATGTATATATTCTTAAATTCCATTCCTTGCTTAGATTTGTGTGTATTGGGTATATGTTGTGAAATTGTTAGATATTACTTGTTAGATATTACTGCATTAAGCATTTCGCTACACACGCAATAACATCTGCTAAACACGTTCAGTATATGTGACAAATATGATTTTATTTTATTTTATTTAGTTTCAACCAACTGAATAATAGCTCAAGGTGTCCAAGCAGAGTTTTTCCCTGACAGGTCACACGGCCCAGAAAAACACCTGGCCCTAGTCATTTAGAACAACACTGAACTATCACTTTCTCTACATTAACACTGCAGCCCACCTTAATCTCATCAAGCCTCAAGTCTTTCTCAAGGCCTCACCTTCTCCCCAGCTGATGATGTCATCGGGGTCCGTTGGCACCCCTCTCCAGAGGGCTGCGTCTTTGGGGTAGCCCCCCTCCGGCTTCCTCCCCTCCTCCTTGCGGCCCTCGTCGAACCTCCAGAACTCACCCACGCTGAACAGGTAGGTCTTCCCGTTGTGGGCCCACACGAAGGCAGCCTCCACTCTCTCCACTATCCCGCCATCCTTGGTCCTCATCCCCCACTCTGCCAGAGGCCTGGGGTAGCCGGGGAGGGCCACAGTGTCTTTGAACACCCAGTACTGAGCCCCTGCACAGTCATAGATAGGAGGAGGAAATCACCTTTGTTTACAACACAACAACAACCACATTCATAAGGATATTAGCCACTGTAGCAAAGTTCTGATGTTTTTAATTCTAACTAGGGACATGTTCATTAGGCACCAAACAGAAGAAAATGGACAGAAACAGGGAGGGAGTACCTCCAATAAGAAATTATTATTTTCATTTTTCATTACAAAAAGTTTCCGTTGCGTGACATAATGAACACGACATAGGGCTACAATAGTGCTGTTGTCTTTCCCACCGATGAAGAAGATGATGCAGCTGTCGCTCTTCCTCTCGTAAACGGCATCGATCTTGTTGGTTTCAGGGGGGAGCCCCATCCAGAAGTTTCTAATCAGGGCTGGGTTGAAGGAGACAAGATAACCTGTCCTCTGCATCCTCCAGAAATGTGGACCTGACCCAAGCAACACAATAATTAAAGAGGCTGTGCGGAAATTGAGTTGCTAATTGTTTACGTCAAATTTGGGCTTGAGTGTTGGCTGTATGGGTTCATAAACAGGTCATTCTTGAATTGCGGTGGCATTTGGGCATGGCAAAAAAATACAAAAATAAAAGGACTTCCAGATGTTGTATTTTATTAAAATTTATTTGGGTACATTTTGCCATTCTAAATCAACTAATATGGCAGCTTAATGACTTACAAAACTGTTAAACCATTATGATAACATTGTGGCACCAGTAGGAGTAGTAACACCAATGATGGTCAAACCAATGACACATTTTAGGTAATTCAGGATTTTCTTAAAAGCTAAAATCTAAGGTCATTAACCCTTTAAAAAGCATTTACTAAAATGATATGATCAATCATTTTGTGCACAATGTAATTTCCCATTTAAATTGAGTAACACCAATGACGCTCGTAATATAGACACACAAAATTATCAATGGAACCCTCAAACTTATAACATACTAAGAATGGTGTGATTAGCTAATAATTGTCCTTATATTGAAACCATTCTCCCAATAACAGTTTGACATTAGAAATGGAATGCTCAAGGTCCTTGTGCATCTTTGTAATTGGTGATTTTCAAGACGGTAACACCAATTACATTAAACTTAGGAACACTATTTTATATTTTTATTTTAGGTCTTTGTCTTGATTGATCTAAACAACATATTAAACAATTTTCTTTACTTTAAAGCATTTAAAATTAAATTAAAATTATATAGATATATTATTCAGACCCCTTTATTTTTCTATATTTTGTTACATTACAGCCTTATTCTAAAATGGATTAAAAAAAAAATATATATATATATATTATATATATATATATATATATATATATCCTTAGCAATCTACACACAATACCCCATATTGACAAAGCGAAAACAGGTTTTTAGAAATGTTTGCACATTTATTAAAACTAAAACATTTAATTTAGATACGTTTTCAGACCCTATGCTATGAGACTCGAAATTGAGCTCAGGTGCATCCTGTTTCCATTTATCATCCTTGAGATGTTTCTACAACTTTATTGGAGTACACCTGTATTCAATTGATTGGACATGATTTGGAAAGGCACACAACTGTCTATATAAGGTTCCACAGTTGAAAGTGAATGTCAGAGCAAAAACCAAGCCATGAGGTCGAAGGAATTGTCCGTAGAGCTCCGAGACAGGATTGTGTCGAGGCACAGATTTGGTGAAGTGTACCAAAACATTTCTGCAGCATTGAAGGTTCCCAACAACACAGTGGCCTCCATCATTTTTAAATGGAAGAAATTTGGAACCACCAAGACTCTTCCTAGAGCTGGCCGCCCAGCCAAACTGAGCAATCGGGGGAGAAGGGCCTTGGTCAGGGAGGTGACCAAGAACCCGATGGTCACTCTGACATAGCTCCAGAGTTCCTCTGTGGAGATGGGAGAATACTCTTGGCATTCTCTCAACCAGCTCCAAGAGTGTGCAAAGCTGTCATCAAGGCAAAGGGTGGCTACTTTGAAAAATCTCAAATCTAAAATATATTTTGATTTGTTTAACACTTTTTTGGTGTGTGTATATATATACAGTTGAATTTGGAAGTGTATGTACACTTAGGTTGGAGTCATTAAAACTCCACAAATGTCTTGTTAACAAACCATAGTTTTGGCAAGTCGGTTAGGATCTACTTTGTGCATGACACAAGTAATTTTTACAACAATTGTTTACAGACAAATTATTTCACTTATAATTCACTGTATCACAATTCCAGTGGGTCAGAAGTTTACATACACTAAGTTGACTGTGCCTTTAAACAGCTTGGAAAAATCCAGAAAATTATGTCATGGCTTTAGAAGCTTCTGATAGGCTAATTAACATCATTTTAGTCAATTGGAAATGCACCTGTGGATGTATTTCAAGGCTTACCTTCAAACTCAGTGCCTCTTTGCTTGACATCATGGGAAAATCAAAAGAAATCAGCCAAGACCTCAGAAAAAAATATATAGACCTCCACAAGTCTGGTTCATCCTTGGGAGCAATTTCCAAACGCCTGAAGGTACCACGTTCATCTGTACAAACAATAATACGCAAGTATAAACACCATGGACCATGCAGCCATCATACCGCTCAGGAAGGAGACACGTTCTGTCTCCTAGAGATGAACGTACTTTGGTGCGAAAAGTGCAAATCAATCCCAGAACAACAGCAAAGGACCTTGTGAAGATGCTGGAGGAAACAGGTACAAAAGTATCTATATCCAAAGTAAAACGAGTCCTATAGCGACATAACCTGAAAGGCCGCTCAGCAAGGAAGAAGCCACTGCTCCAAAACCGCCATACAAAAAGCCAGACTACGGTTTGCAACTGCACATGGGGACAAAGATTGTACCTTTTGGAGAAATGTCCTCTGGTCTGATGAAATAAAAATATAACTGTTTGGCCATAATGACCATTGTTATGTTTGGAGGAAAAAGGGGGTTGCTTGCAAGCTGAAGAACACCATCCCAACCATGAAGCACGGGAGTGGGAGCATCATGCTCTGGGGGTGCTTTGCTGCAGGAGGGACTGGTGCACTTCACAAAATAGATGGCATCTTGAGGAAGGAATATTATGTGGATATATTGAAGCAACATCTCAAGACATCAGTCAGGAAGTTAAAGCTTGGTCGCAAATGGGTCTTCCAAATGGACAATGACCCCAAGCATACTTCCAAAGTTGTGGCAAAATGGCTTAAGGACAACAAAATAAAGGAATGGGAGTGGCAATCACAAAGCACTGACCTCAATTCTATAGAACATTTGTGGGCAGAACTGAAAAAGCGTGTGCGAGCAAGGAGGCCTACAAACCTGACTCAGTTACACCAGCTCTGTCAGGAGGAATGGGCCAAAATTCACCCAACTTCTTGTGGGAAGGCTACCCGAAACGTTTGACCCAAGTTAAACAATTTAAAGGCAAAGCTACCAAATACTAATTGAGTGCATGTAAACTTCTGACCCACTGGAAATGTGATGAAAAAAAAAAAGAAACTAAAATAAATCATTCTCTCTACTATTATTCTGACATTTCACATTATTAAAATAAAGTGGTGATCCTAACTGACCTAAGACAGGGAATTTTTACTAGGATAAAATTTTAGGAATTGTGAAAAACTGAGTTTACATGTATTTGGCTAAGGTGTACACTACCGTTCAAAAGTAATGGTGGTCACTTAGAAATGTCCTTGTTTTCGAAGATCTCGTGCAACGCTGTGTACTACTCCCTTCACAGAACCGCGCAAACTGGCTCTAACCAGAATAGAAAGAGGAGTGGGAGGCCCCGGTGCACAACTGAGCAAGAGGACAAATACATTAAGAGTGTCTAGTTTGAGAAATAGGCGCCTCACAGGTCCTCAACTGGCAGCTTCATTAAATAGTACCCACAAAACACCAGTCTCAACGTCAACAGTGAAGAGGCGACTCTGGGATGCTGACCTTCTAGGCAAAGTTGCAAAGAAAAAGCCATATCTCAGACTGGCCAATAAAAGAAAATTAAGATGGGCAAAAGAACACTGACACTGGACTTTTTCTTTGCAACTCTGCCTAGGTCAACATCCCAGAGTCGCCTCTTCACTGTTGACATTTTTACAAATTAATTAAAAAGGAAGTGTCAATAAATATTCAAAACCTTAGATAAGGCAAGCCTAAATAAGTTTAGGATAAAAAAATGTGTATCAATACACCCAGTCACTACAAAGATACAGGTGTCCTTCGTAACTTAGTTGCCTTAGTTGAACCACTCAGGGATTTCACCATGAGGCCAATGGTGACTTTAAAACAGTTACAGAGTTTAATGGCTGTGATAGAAGAAAACTGAGGATGGATCAACAACATTATAGTTACTCCACAATATTAACCTAAATGACAGAGTGAAAAGAAGAAAGTAATACAAATATATAAAAATATTCCAAAACATGCATCCTGTTTGAAATAAGGCACTAAAGTAAAACTGCAAAAAAAAATCCTGAATACAAAGTGTTATGTTTGGGGCAAAGCCAACACAACACATCACTGAGTACCACTCTTCATATTTTCAAGCATAGTGGTGGCTGCATCATGTTATGGGTATGCTTGTCATCAGCAAGGACTATGGCATTTTTTTAGGATAAAAATAAACAGAATAGAGGTAAGCACAGGCAAAATGCTAGAGGTAAACCTGGTTCGGTCTGCTTTCCAACAGACACTGGGAGACAAATGCACCTTTCAGCAGGACAATAACTTAAAACACAAGGCCAAATATACACTGGAGTTGCTTACCAAGATGACATTGAATGTTCCTGAGTGGGCTAGTTACAGTGTTGACTTAAATCGTCTTGAAAATCGTCCTCCCCAATTAAGGTGCCACCAATTAAGGTGCCACCAACCTCCTTGGATTTTCAAGACGATTTAAGTCAACACTGTAACTAGGCTTGTGGTAATGGCTGGAGCGGTATTTGTGGAATGGTATCAAATACATCAAACACATGGTTTCCATGTGTTTGATGCCATTCCATTCGCTCCGTTGCAGACATTATTATGAGCCGTCCTCCCCTCAGCAGCCTCCACTGTTGAAAATCTATGGCAAGACATGAAAATGGCTGTCTAGCAATGATTAACAACCAACTTGACAGAGCTTGAAGAATGTTTTGAAGACTAATGTGCAAATATTGTACAATCCAGGTGCGCAAAGCTCTTAGAGACTTACCCAGAAAGATGCACAGATGTAATCGCTGCCAAAGGTGATACTAACTCAGGGGTATGAATACTTATGTAAATTAGATATTTCTTTATTTCATTTTCAATAAATGTGCAAATATTTCTAAAAACTTTTTCACTTTGTCATTATGGGGAACTTGCTGTTCAGTTTCAGCAGATGCTGATGTTCAAAGTGAATCAAATCTATCATGGCTTGCTTTGTAGTGAAGAGCAGTCCAACACAGCTAAAACTACTCTCACAGGCGGCAGAGGCAGGCAGGCCTGTGTTCAGTTTGAGTGACAGCTTCTTTAGATTCAGCTTTTTAGTTTGGATCCTGCGACGCAGTTGGCATCAGTTGCTGGGACTGCTACTCTCAGTCTAGTGATCCTGCCGACCAAGGCCGGGTTTGAGGAGCCTGCCCTGTCTGGAACTGCGAGGAATAACAGCGTAACCTTCGTTGCTAGCTACCATGACGAAGACCAAAGCTGGCGGGAGTACCGTTCAGGACAGTGGTGTCTCTCTATCACAGGTGAAGGATCTTTTAAACGAACAAAAATAGTTCTACGAGCAGTTGTTACAACAACAAGAAAATAGCTTCAAGTGTTTTGTCCAAATACTGGTGGATTCACCTAATAAAAGAATGGACGACCTGACCAGAGAGGTTCAAGACCTGAGGAACAGCTTGCAGTTCTGCCAGGGTCAGCTCGATGAGTTGAAACAGGAAAACGGCAAGATGACAACAATCTGTAAGTCATTGAGAGAGGACATCAGTTCTGTGTGTGATACCATGATAACAATGACTGATAAATCAGACTTGATGGACAATCAAGGCGGAAAAACATGGTTGTGGACGGAATTTCAGAATCTCCATATGAGACCTGGATGGAGTCTGAGGACAAAGTGAGGGAAATGATGTCTGAGAAATTGAAGATGGACCACAGGAAGATTGAGGTGGAGCGCGCCCACAGAACTGGAAAACCGGAAACCGGCCCAGGCCCAGGTGATAGTGGTGAAGTTCCTGAGGTTCAAGGACAAGGTAGCGGTTCTGGAAAGAGCGAAGAATTTGAGAGGAACGTATATCTTCCTCAACGAGGACTATCCTTAAGCTGTGCGCCAGAATAGGAAAGAACTTATCCCAAGCCATGAAAGCTGCCAGAGCGTGTGGGGACATTGCTTACATCCGCTATGGCAGGCTCATTATCCACCCTCCCTCCCAGATGCCTGGAAGGGATGAGAGAGCCAAGCCTATGGGTTCATAGCTTCAACACCGCAGCACACACACACCAATTGATTAATGGACTGCTGAATGTATATTTTTTTGTCTTGCTTTGTTTGCTCTTTTCCATATTATGTCTATCTCTGATAAGCTACCCAGGAAAGTGCTGAAAATAGCCCATATGAATGTATGTAGCCTTAGAAATAAGGTTAATGAAATCAATAACTTGACAACAGCAGATAACATTCATATATTAGCCATTTCTGAGACTCACTTAGATAATTAATTTGATGATAGAGCAGTAGCGATACAAGGATATAACATGTATAGACGAGACAAAAATGCTTATGGGGGAGGTGTTTCAGTATATATTCAGAGCCATATCCCTGTAATGCATAGAGAAGATCTTACAGTGAGGGAAAAAAGTATTAGATCTCCTGCTGATTTTGTATGTTTGCCCACTGACAAAGAAATGATCTGTCTATAATTTTAATGGTAGGTTTATTTGAACAGTGAGAGACAGAATAACAACAAAAAATCCAGAAAGACGCATGTCAAAAATGTTATAAATAGATTTGCATTTTAATAAGGGAAATAAGTATTTGATCCCCTCTCAATCAGAAAAATGTCTGGCTCCCAGGTGTCTTTTATACAGGTAACGAGCTGAGATTAGGAACACACTCTTAAAGGGAGTGCTCCTAATCTCAGTCTGTTACCTGTAGAAAAGTCACCTGTCCACAGAAGCAATCAATCAATCAGATTCCAAACTCTCCACCATGGCCAAGACCAAAGAGCTCTCCAAGGATGTCAGGAACTGCAACGTAGACAAAGGTTATAAAAGCTGAGACCCAACTCTTGTTCGTTGGGCTCTTAACTCTGCACTGTTGAGTGGATTGTTAACTGCTCCAGATTTGCAAATCTAATAATAAAGTTGTTTGAAGAATCTACAGTCTCTCTTCCTTTTGATTAGAATTTCCACAACATTTTGCAATTTGAATTACACTGGGATGAACTACACTCCAACGTATTTCGTATTTTCAAAATACTGTAATTTGTATTTTCAAAATACAAAATCCTTTCTATACCATTTCTTTTTTTTGCGGTTCACATTTTGTGGCCCCCCTTTTACACTGCATTAGTATCAGAAGTCTGATAGCACTTTGGTGTGATAAGAGCGTCTGTTAAATTAACTAAATATAAATGTACACTACCAGCCAAAAGGTTGGACACACCTACACAGTCAAGGGTTTTTCTTTATTTGTACTATTTTTTACATTGTAGAATAATAGTGAAGACATCAAAACTATAAAATAACACATATGGAATCATGCAGTAACCAAAAAAGTGTTTAACAAATCCAAATATATTATATATTTCAGATTCTTCAAATAGCCACCCTTTGCCTTCATGACAGCTTTGCACACTCTTGGCATTCTCTCAACCAGCTTCATGAGGTAGTCACCTGGAATGCATTTAAATTAACAGGTGTGCCTTCTTAAAAGTTAATTTGTGGAATTTCTTTCCTTCTTAATGTGTTTGAGCCAATCAGTTGTGTTGTGACAAGTTAGGGGTGGTATACAGAAGATAGCCCTATTTGGTAAAAGACCAAGTCAATATTATGGCAAGAACAGCTCAAATAAGCAAAGAGAAACGACAGTCCATCATTACTTTAAGTCATGAAGGTCAGTCAATAGGGAACATTTCAAGAACATTGAAAGTTTCTTCAGGTGCAGTCGCAAAAACCATCAAGCGCTATGATGAAAATGGTTCTCATGAGGACCGCCACATGAAAGGAAGACCCAGAGTTACCTCTGCTGCAGACGATAAGTTCATTGGAGTTACCAGCCTTAGAAATTGCAGCCCAAATAAATGCTTCACAGAGTTCAAGTCACAGACACATCTCAACACTTAACCAGCATGGCTACCACAGCATTCTGAAGCGATACGCCATCCCATCTGGTTTGTGCTTAGTGGGACTATCATTTGTTTTTCAACGGGACAATGACCCAACACACCTCCAGGCTGTGTAAGGGCTTTTTGACCAAGAAGGAGAGTGATGGAGTGCTGCATCAGATGACCTGGCCTGATGGTTTGGGATGAGTCAGACGGCAGAGTGAAGGAAAAGCAGTCAAAAAGTGCTAAGCATATGTGGGAACTCCTTCAAGACTGCTGGAAAAGCATTCCCGGTGAAGCTGGTTGAGAGAATGCCAAGAGTGTGCAAAGCTGTCATCAAGGCAAAGGGTGGCTATTTGAAGAATCTCAAATATAAAATATATTTTGATTTGTTTAAAAAAATGTTGGTTACTACATGATTCCATATGTGTTATTTTATAGATTTGATGTCTTCACTATTATTCTACAATGTAGAAAATAGTAAAAATAAAGAAAAACCCTTGAATGAGTAGCTGTGTCCAAACTTTTGACTGGTACTGTATATTGTTGAGGGATAATGTACTTGATACGATTGTGATATGTTGTTGCCTCACCTAGCTATATTAAGATCAATGCACTAATTGTTGGTCATTCTGGATAAGAGCATCAGCTAAATAACTACAATGTAAATGTAATGTAAAAATGAACAATTGCAAAGCATGCTGAGTATTATTTAAATGAGCTCCGCCCTGAAACAAGGCCAATAATAATACCCAGTGTGCTTTGCAGTTCATTTTTGAATGTTCATTTTCACATCTACATTTACTTTTTGGTCATTTAGTAGACACTCTTATCCAGAGTGACTTATTAAACTAAAGTAGATAAACAACAACATATCACAGTCATAACAAAAAAAAAATTGTAGGTGTTACTAAGAACATTGTTGCATGTATTTTTATTAGATACATTACAAAATACAAGCATTTTGTAGTTTATTTTGATACATTGATGTTTATGATATTTTGTATCTGTATTTTGTAATTGAATTAGGAAATGGATAGCTTGCTAATGTTAGCATGTTAGACAACTAGGCTAACGCTATCGTGCATAAGTTAGACTATTAGATAGCTAGCTATACTAGCTGCTAAAGCCATTTTTTAAAATAATTCATAGCTAGCTAGTTATCTTACCTCTATAATGTTTCCTCAAGTTCAAGGTAGAGTTTTTGTAGACTGCCACCTCCTCCATCCCTTCGCGTCCCATGTGCTTGAAGGAGAACTCATCACAGTCTCCTCCGTCTCCATTGTTTTTCACACTCACCGCTTTGATAAAAACGTTTCCTCTTTTTCACGATACATCTCGAACTAAACTAAGTTATTTTTGCCTTTTTGAAAACCTTCCGACCATCATTGCTCAGATTGTATGCATAGCTTGATTTGATTGGCCTGTACTGGTGCGATGCGTGAAATTTGATTTAATTGGTCACTGACTAAACAACGATGAGCTGTTTTTTTCTGGCTCCGAGGGGCTCTCGCAAACTCTCCGTGCCCTCATGATCTACTGTACTATTATGGATAGCCTACAAAATTGTATTCTGTAACGGATGGTTTTAAAAAGATAGCGAAGTACACTTCTTCCATCAAAACATACTTAAGTGAAAGTTTAATTACTGACTTTGAAAAATGCTCCAAAAAGTACAAGTACTCAAACAAAATGCTCAATTACAGTAACGAGAGTATTTGTAATTCGTTACTTCCATCCCATGTAACTATTTTGTCATTTTAAAGTGTTTTTCATGGTCGCAAAGGTGAGACATGCAAATGCCATAGCAAGAACGACCCATACACATATGATATAACATTAATCAATGTTTTAAATCATGAAACCACTCAATCCTCAGTTATTAGGCTAGTTATCATGGGCATGGGTAGGTGTGCCCCCTTCTGTTCAATTAAGTCATTTCTGGGAAGTATTTCTGTCCATGTAGGAGATCCCTTTTAGCTGAAGAGCACTTCTGTATGAAAACTCTTTACTGTTAAGAAAAACCGTCCCCTCTGAAGATTTATTTTGTGACGATGGTAATTCTGCAGACAAAATAGCCCATTCAACAAAGCATGTATTTTTGTGTAATTGTGTAAACACATTGTCACTGCTGTTGTCACTACTGTTGTATTTGTCTTACCCTTAAAAAAGAAGACCTCTCCTCTGATATTTGCCACAGCATCAAAGCCGCCCTCACAACGATTCTGGAAAGAACGGTCTGAACTGGTCATGGAAGAAAGAAAGGGAAGCATGAGTAAAGACACTGGACTCCAATGGCAACCTGACACTCAATGCGGTGAGTGATTTTAGTGATTGATTAAGGACATATTTACTGTATACACTGAGTATGCAAAACATGAAGAACAGCTGTTCTTTCCATGACAAGTGAAGGCTATGATCCTTTATAAATGTCACTTGTTAAATCCACCAATCAGAGTAGATGAAGGGGAGAAGACAGGTTATTAAAGAAGGATTTTTAAGCCTTGAGGCAATTGAGACATGGATTGTGTATCTGTTCCATTCAGAGGGTGAATGGGCAAGACAAAATATTTAAAGTGAGGGAAAAAGGTATTTGATCCCCTGCTGACTTTGTACGTTTGCCCACTGACAAAGAAATTATCAGTCTATAATTTTAATGGTAGGTTTATTTGAACAGTGAAAGACAGAATAACAACAAAAAAATTAGGAAAAACGCATGTTAAAAATGTTATAAATTGATTTGCATTTTAATGAAGGAAATAAGTATTTGACCCCCTCTCAATCAGAAAAATGTCTGGCTCCCAGGTGTCTTTTATACAGGTAACGAGCTGAGATTAGGAGCACACTCTTAAAGGGAGTGCTCCTAATCTCAGTTTGTTACCTGTATAAAAGACACCTGTCCACAGAAGCAATCAAACAATCAGATTCCAAACTCTCCACCATGGCCAAGACCAAAGAGCTCTCCAAGGATGTCAAGGACAAGATTGTACACCTACACAAGGCTGGAATGGGCTACAAGACCATCGCCAAGCAGCTTGGTGAAAAGGTGACAACAGTTGGTGTGATTATTCGCAAATGGAAGAAACACAAAATAACTGTCAATCTCCCTCGGCCTGGGGCTCCATGCAAGATCTCACCTCGTGGAGTTGCAATGATCATGAGAATGGTGAGGAATCAGCCCAGAACTACACGGGAGGATATTGTCAATGATCTCAAGGCAGCTGGGACCATAGTCACCAAGAAAACAATTGGTAACACACTACGCCATGAAGGACTGAAATCCTGCAGCGCCCGCAAGGTCCCCCTACTCAAGAAAGCACATATACATGCCCGTCTGAAGTTTGCCAATGAACATCTGAATGATTCAGAGGAGAACTGGGTGAAAGTGTTGTGGTCAGATGAGACCAAAATCGAGCTCTTTGCATCAACTCAACTCACTGTGTTTGGAGGAGGAGGAATGCTGCCTATGACCCCAAGAACACCATCCCCACCGTCAAACATGGAGGTGGAAACATTATGGTTTGGGGGTGTTTTTCTGCTAAGGGGACAGGACAACTTCACCGCATCAAATGGACGATGGACGGGGCCATGTACCGTCAGGGCATTGAAAATGGCGCTGATGATTGACTCGAAGAACTCGTGCTCGTCCTCACAGCAGTGGGTTGCCCTGGTGGTGGGACACGAGCTGGCCCACCAGTGTCATTCCAGCATGACAATGACCCAAAACATACGGCCAAGGCAACAAAGGAGTGGCTCAAGAAGAAGCACATTAAGGTCCTGGAGTGGTCTAGCCAGTCTCCAGACCTTAATCCCATAGAAAATCTGTGGAGGGAGCTGAAGATTCGAGTTGCCAAACATCAGCCTCGAAACCTTAATGACTTGGAGAAGATCTGCAAAGAGGAGTGGGACAAAATCCCTCCTGAGATGTGTGCATACCTGGTGGCCAACTACAAGAAACGTCTGACCTCTGTGATTGCCAACAAGGGTTTTGCCACCAAGTACTAAGTCATGTTTTGCAGAGGGGTCAAATAATTATTTCCCTAATTAAAATGCAAATCAATTTATAACATTTTAGACATGCGTTTTCTGGATTTTTTTGTTGTTATTCTGTCTCTCACTGTTGAAATAAACCTACCATTAACATTATAGACTGATAATTTCTTTGTCAGTGGGCAAACGTACAAAATCAGCAGGGGATCAAATACTATTTTCCCTCACTGTAAGTGCCTTTGAACGGGGTATGGTAGTAGTACCAGGCGCAACGGTTTGTGTCAAGAACTGCAACGCTGCTGGGTTTTTCACGCTCAACAGTTCCCTGTGGGTATCAAGAATGGTCTACCACCCAAAGGACATCCAGCCAACACAACTGTGGGAAGCATTGGAATCAACATGGGCCAGCATCCCTGTGGAACGCTTTCAACACCTTGTAGAGTCCATGCCCGACGAATTGAGGCTGTTCTGAGGGCAAAATGTGGGGTTCAACTCAATATTAGGAAGGTGTTGTGTCATAATGATAACCTTAGCTACAGTTATGAAATGTCTAATAATTATTTTCTTATCAGGTCAAATCTCAGAATCTATCATCTATGTATCTAGCTAGGTAACACTTTGGATTGATGATGCACGTGAAAAAGGATGGACAAAAATGTTTGATGGCTGTCCTTCATCTCCGTCATATGTCAGCATATGAGAACCACGGAGAAACAATTAGCTTAATCCTGTTTGGACAGATAAGAAATATTGTACCCTTTTCACACTACTCAGTCAAACCGAGCTGAGCCAAGCCAAGCTGTACTGGGCTGGCCTGGTTACCATAGTTGCTAGAACCATGCTGGAAAGGACAATGTGAAAAGAAACCATTCGGGCCAGCACAGTATGGTTCCAGTCTGGTCTATAGTGTGAATCAGGCATAGAAATAGCTGAGACCTAACTCTCTCTGGCTCCACTCACTGTTTTGTTGGCCTTGGAGGTGGAGTACTGGGCAGACGAGGGTGACTGGGCGTTGAACCACTGCCACCAGGGTGCACTGTAGGCTTGCTCTCCTTCCTCCCTGGGGAGAGAGAAAGGGTGAATCTTACTTTTATTTCCTCGCATCCTCTCTCCTCGCCTCCTTCTCAAAACGCATTGGTGGAAAAGGTCAGAAGGGAGGAACCTTGGACCTTCTCCAATGCGTTTTGAGGTGGACATGAGAAAGGACACAAATAATTAACCCTTTACACTCATACCTGTATATCGGTTGAAAATGGCAGATTTGGGCACAGATAAACGGCTAAATTGGAATGCAGTGGGTGTACAGTAACATTATATATATGACGTCAGAGCTCTGGCTCTGTGCTTCTCTGTGCTGTATAGGTTTTGACTGACAGCCATTCTGAACATGAGCACCTCACGCCACATGAAGTTGCCCCCATCCCTCCCGCTAATTGGGCAACTTTTGCAAATGTTTTTGTCTGAGGGAAATGCTGTAAATTAAGACGACTCTATGCACTTTCAAAGATGAGACGTTGAGTATTATAATAAATACCACTTTGATGTCACACAAGCAAGACAAACAGTCCAAATGTGCACTTCACATTTTCATATCATAATACTCATGTCATATACAGTGTCAAAATGTATGATCACTATGTTTGATGTACAGCTACAAGATAACATGCCATCATACCTTGGATTTTTCTGAACAGAATGAGCCTATGTTTGTCTATTGTGAAGAAAATTTGCTGCGGCACACGCACCTGAATGCACTCATGACTCCTTTCTATGTGCACCAAAATTAGGATCTGTTTCCCTGAATTCCATTGTGAAAACCTAACACTTTATATCGTATTTTATTACTTGGCGTAAACAACAACTAATTGAGTGATGGCAGGAATTAACCACACGACTGTTAAGCCAGAAAGCGAAAGGAAAAGGGCTGAGGAAAGAGGGCGGTTTGGGTTATGCAAATAGAGGTGCCATAAAAGCCATGGACGGATGTGGCACCAAGGGGAAAAACTAAGAGACATGACTGACCAAGAAACCTACATTGAATTACCCAATTAGTTATGGTTAAGTTATGTTGGGTTATGGTTAGTGTTAAGGTCTTGGGTTAGGGTTAGAATTAGAGTTGGGTTGGGTTTAGGGTTAGAGTTATGGGTTGGTGTGGCCTGGGGAGTCTAGCAGTTAGTGCCGCTGCATACAGCACACATGTTTGTAGGTTCCGGCGTGGGTTTCGAATCCAGCCCACTGCATTTGTGACACATTTTCTGTCTATCTTTCCCACACCTCTCAAAATAATACAGAATCCTTAAAAAATAAGACACCCTACCGTAGAGCTCTTGAATGGCCATCCTGTCGTCTAGAGGGAGGTTGTAGGATGAGATGTCTTTCACAGCTCCCTGGTAGTATGGCCTCATAATGGAGGGATCCGAGGAGGAGTGGGACAGGCCCAGGGCGTGGCCAAACTCATGCACCGCCACTGTGAAGAGGTCTGTGCTACTGCTGTCCCCTGAGAAACCAGCAGGTGCTGTGTTAATCAGTCGGTCAATATTATCTCTCTCTGTCTGTATCTATTGTGGTAATTGAAGATCCATCCTTACACCCATCCATGAATCCATCTATCCATCCATCCATCTGACTATCTTTAAATACCTCCATAGCTCCAGTACTCATCGTCATCGAAGTGCGTGTCCCCGGCGACGTCGTCCTTCCCCGGGAAGAAGGCGTGGGCGAGGGTGCCCCCTTTACCGTCGAAAGGGTACCCATCGTCATGGAGCGAGTGGGTAAAAGACACTCGGATGTCCCCTATGGGCCCCTTCCCTTCTCTGTCGCTCACAGAGAGCTGCTGGAAGCTGAGGGGGGCCGCGTCACTCCAGGCCTTGAAGGCCAGAGTCAGGATCCATTCCACCACTTCCGGGCGGGAGACAGAGGTCGAGAGGGAGGGGTTTGGGTAACTGTGGACACTGGATACAGGAAGGACATCAGTAGTACAAATAAATAAATAAAACACACTATGATACTGCTTACCAGGTATGGCACAGTACCTGGTGCAAAGGAACCAATGGAATAGTGCCAAAAGTCAAAAAAGCACCCATTTGACACTCCAGGCAGGCTCAATCAAATGCTCAAATTATTTGAAAGATGACAAATACTATTTGAAAACAGGTCTGCACAGTACTACGCTACACAGAAGAACACTAAAATGTGTTAGTGTCAGAATGTGTGTGTCTGTTTGTATCAACTACACATTTTGCACACCTCCATGTGAGGTCGGTCCTATCCCAGCGAAGGCCTGACAGGGCGTATCTCTTCCTCCTCCTCTTCCTTTTCAACATGTCCTCTGATCCCACAATGTCAGGGAGAGAGCATCTAGGCATCTGCATGAGATTGAGAGTGTCTGTATCTGAAAATACAGAGGCAGAACACTCACACATGACACCCAGTGACTTAAAGACTTAACAGCTGGCTTAAAGTGTCAAGTGACGAAGCTTTACTGTAAGTTGACAGTGGGTTACCCAGTCTGCCCGTTTCCTCGAGCCCTCCGAATCTCTGCATCTCGCGGATCGCCCGCTCGACCCCATCCTTCGTCTGCAGCTTGCTCGTGCGAGGGTCAGGAGGAGGGAGGTACCCATACCGGCTCAACCAATCCTAACAGAGAGCAGAGGAAGAGAGCAGACTTTGATGTCAGTTGTTGTGATGTTAATCAATTTTATTTTCAATCAATCAATCAATCAATTTTATTTTATATAGCCCTTCTTACATCAGCTAATATCTCGAAGTGCTGTACAGAAACCCAGCCTAAAACCCCAAACAGCTAGTAATGCAGGTGTAGAAGCACGGTGGCTAGGAAAAACTCCCTAGAAAGGCGAAAACCTAGGAAGAAACCTAGAGAGGAACCAGGCTATGAGGGGTGGCCAGTCCTCTTCTGGCTGTGCCGGGTGAAGATTATAACAGAACCATGCCAAGATGTTCAAAAATGTTCATAAGTGACAAGCATGGTCAAATAATAATCAGGAATAAATCTCAGTTGGCTTTTCATAGCCGATCATTAAGAGTTGAAAACAGCAGGTCTGGGACAGGTAGGGGTTCCATAACCGCAGGCAGAACAGTTGAAACTGGAATAGCAGCAAGGCCAGGCGGACTGGGGACAGCAAGGAGTCACCACGGCCGGTAGTCCCGACGTATGGTCCTAGGGCTCAGGTCTCTCAGTTGGCTTTTCATAGCCGATCATTAAGAGTTGAAAACAGCAGGTCTGGGACAGGTAGGGGTTTCGTAACCGCAGGCAGAACAGTTGAAACTGGAATAGCAGCAAGGCCAGGCGGACTGGGGACAGCAAGGTGTCATCATGCCCGGTAGTCCTGACGTATGGTCCTAGGGCTCAGGTTCTCAGAGAGAAAGAGAGAACGAGAGAATTAGAGAGAGCATACTTAAATTCACACAGGACACTGGATAAGACAGGAGAAGTACTCCAGGTATAACCAACTAACCCCAGCCCCCCGACACATAAACTACTGCAGCATAAATACTGGAGGCTGAGACAGGAGCGGTCCGGAGACACTGTGGCCCCATCCGAAGAAACCCCCGGACAGGGCCAAACAGGAAGGATATAACCCCACCCACTCTGCCAAAGCACAGCCCCCGCACCACTAGAGGGATATCCTCAACCACCAACTTACAATCCTGAGACAAGGCCGAGTATAGCCCACAGAGGTCTCCACCACAGCACAAACCAAGGGGGGGCGCCAACCCAGACAGGAAGATCACGTCAGTAACTCAACCCACTCAAGTGACGCACCCCTCCCAGGGACGGCATGAAAGAGCACCAGCAAGCCAGTGACTCAGCCCCTGCAACAGGGTTAGAGGCAGAGAACCCCAGTGGAGAGGGGAACCGGCCTGGCAGAGACAGCAAGGGCTGTTCGTTGCTCCAGAGCCTTTCCGTTCACCTTCACACTCCTGGGCCAGACTACACTCAATCATATGACCTACTGAAGAGATAAGTCTTCAGTAAAGACTTAAAGGTTGAGACCGAGTCTGCGTCTCTCACATGGGTAGGCAGACTGTTCCATAAAAATGGAGATCTATAGGAGAAAGCCCTGCCTCCCGCTGTTTGCTTAGAAATTCTAGGGACAATTAGGAGGCCTGCGTCTTGTGACCGTAGCGTACGTATTGGTATGTACGGCAGGACCAACTCGGAAAGATAGGTAGGAGCAAGCCCATGTAACGCTTTATAGGTTAACAGTAAAACCTTGAAATCAGCCCTTGCCTTAACAGGAAGCCAGTGTAGGGAAGCTAGCACTGGAGTAATATGATCAAATTTCTTGGTTCTAGTCAGGAGCATCACAGCTGATGAAAGCCACCCCCTGCACACAGCACTCCAGGGACAAACCACCAGGGACTTTTTCCTACCCAGTGTTATACACCTTTTTAACCAGAGACATTCCCGGTATCACTTAAAACAGACAATATGGCCTGAGACAATATCTCAATAATAAACTGCACTTTGATATTTTATGTATTTTGGTAAAAATGTTGGTATGTGTTCAGCCCCCAGATGTTCTAGCACCACCCAATTACCTATCAACATAATGTGTCTCTCTCTTCAGGTCTTGCTGTAATTCAGTGAATCCTGAGTGAAACCAGACTGTGAATCCCTGATCACTGAAGCTGATCGCTCTCAGGATAGCTAACTAGCTAGACCGAGCCCTATAGGCCTACACACACTGATGTAGCTTCAACGCATTAGATACAACAGTGGTGATAGAAGGGGTATTTTCTATTGTTTTGTGTGGCTCTTAAGCGATGAAGAATCTGTTCATTACTTTACTTAAAATATTTCATAACCTGGTGTGGTCACTGTCAGAAAGAGGGTAAATGAGGTTATGCAGGGTTAATGCTAGCTCTTATCCAAGGCGTAATGTTGCACGTTCATCTAGTCTATGTGCACTAACTCGCTGGAGCAGAGCGAGTTAATGCATAGGCCTACTGTGTATTGTAGCGATTCTTGGTAAGTGCACTACAGCACTGAGGGAGTTAACTCTTGGGACCGTTTCATTATGAAATCTGGGTTTGTCAACTGTCAAAAGAGGGTGCGCCCTATAGTGGTTTACCACACATTGTTTCTAAAGTCAAATAAGGTTTAATGGTTGGTTACATTTTAGATGTCAAACACTATGGGTGGTATTAATAATAATAATATAATATGCCATATAGCAGACGCTTTTAGTTTATTTTCCCTAAACAATATAGGCTATATATTTTCAAAATATCGTTGTGGCTACGTCTGAAATCCCAAAGTTGTCTGTTCCTTTTTTTTCAGTCAATACAATACAACAATTATTTACATACATAGGCTATAAACAAAACAAAAAAAGTATATAAACAAAAAAATATGAATGGTTTGGATGGAGCACATTTATTTCATACTAAGTAAAGCGGTTATGATAAGATAAAGAATTAAGACAACATAGGACAACTCACCAGTCCTCTGGTATACTGGTCAGGCATCGGTGCGGACGCGGGATGTCCCGTTGAGATGAACAAGCTCGCGGTAACGGTCATCCATATCAGTCCATACACAGTGCCAAACATTTGCCCGTGAAAATCAACCCTGTATCACACATTTACCATTAGAAATCTGCCCAAACATTTCCAAACTCAGCACAGGCTGTCATCCTACAGAAACTTAAAACAACCATGCCTTTTCACTTCACTATTATGAAGTGATATTTTGTGAATCGTTGTACTATACCGTTTCTTTATCTCCTGCTGTGTTAGTTTCCTCGAAGAACTAGGCAGGGCAAAAAGAAATTGATCGATGTGGTAAATGGTTTTCTACCCTCACTTCCTCTTTATCATTGCGCACACACATAAAAAAAACTGCGAAAAACATCTACGTTTGTTCAGAGTATTTTATACCACATCCTGTAGAACGTCAGTTAAACATGCTTAAAAAAGTAGTTGCATGAGATAAAGTTACAATATGATCAGTAATCTTTGTTTTGGAGTCATCATCAATAAGAACTTGATACTGTGTGTATCTGTACTTCTGACAGAAATGCCAATGTTTTAGGATGTTTTCAAGATCTTGTATCTGTATCATCACAATCTGGCAACAAACGTGCCTTTGTCCATTGTTTTGAATTATAAACTGGGTGGTTTGAGCCCTGAATGTTGATTGGCTGAAAGCCGTGGTATATCAGACTGTATACCACGGGTATGACAAAACATTTATTTTTACTGCTCTAATTATGTTGGTAAACAGTTTATAATAGCAATAAGGCACCTCAGGGATTTGTGGTATATGGCCACAAATCCCCGAGGTGCCTTATTACTCCGCTTTGCGTCGTGCCTAAGAACAGCCCTTAGCCGTGGTATATTGGCCATATACCCCCCGCAACAGGGTTTGGGGGGTGAGAGGAGATTGCATCAGAAGAAAAAGAAGCAATAAATCACATTAGCCTTTTCCGCATTTTGTGATGACAAATCATTTTGAAACTTTGCCACTTACACCATTGTGATTTTGTCAACTGTGCAATGGGAGAATATTGTATCACATAAATAATGCTGCATGGATGATAATGGCTAGAAATCAGCAATTAGCTAACTCCAGTTCAACCAGAGAAGATATTCACCGTAAGGAAAATACACTGTATTAGGGTCCTCTGTAGCTCAATTGGTAGAACATGGCACTTGTAACGCCTGGGTAGTGGGTTCAATCCCCGGGACCACCCATACGTAAAAATGTATGCACACATGACTGTAAGTCGCTTTGGATAAAAGCGTCTGCTAAATGGCATATTATATTATTATTATATTACATATTATAACATCTATCTAATCAAAGTCACAGGTTCTCTAGGCCCATTTAGGGAAACAGTCTGAGACAGATATACAGTGGCTTCACCCCCCTTGGCATTTTTCCTATTTTGTTGCCTTACAACCTGGAATTAAAATAGATTTTTTGGGGGGTTGTATCATTTGATTTACACAACATGCCTACCACTTTGAAGATGCAAAATACTTTTTTTGTGAAACAAACAAGAAATAAGACAAAAAAACAGAAAACTTGAGCGTGCATAACTATTCACCCCCCCAAAGTCAATACTTTGTAGAGCCACCTTTAATTACAGCTGCAAGTCTCTTGGGGTATGTCTCTATAAGCTTGGCACATCTAGCCACTGGGATTTTTGCCCATTCTTCAAGGCAAAACTGCTCCAGCTCCTTCAAGTTTGATGGGTTCTGCTGGTGTACAGCAATCTTTAAGTCATACCACAGATTCTCGATTGGATTGAGGTCTGGGCTTTGACTAGGTCATTCCAAGACATTTAAATGTTTCCCCTTAAACCACTTGAGTGTTGCTTTAGCAGTATGCTTAGGGTCATTGTCCTGCTGTAAGGTGAACCTCTGTCCCAGTCTCAAATCTCTGGAAGACTGAAACAGGTTTCCCTTAAGGATTTCCCTGTGTTTAGCACCATCCATCATTCCTTCAATTCTGACCAGTTTCCCAGTCCCTGCCAATGAAAAACATCCCCACAGCATGATGCTGCCACCACCATACTTCACTGTGGGGATGGTGTTCTCGGGGTGATGAGAGATGTTGGGTTTGCGCCAGACATAGCGTTTTCCTTGATGGCCAAAAAGCTAAATTTTAGTCTCGTCTGACCAGAGTACCTTCTTCCATATGTTTGGGGAGTCTCCCACATGCCTTTTGGCGAGCACCAAACGTGTTTGCTTCTTTTTTTCTTCAAGCAATGGCTGTTTTCTGGCACACTCTTCCGTAAAGCCCAGCTCTGTGGAGTGTACGGCTTAAAGTGGTCCTATGGACAGATACTCCAATCTCTGCTGTGGAGCTTTGCAGCTCCTTTAGGGTTATCTTTGGTCTCTTTGTTGCCTCTCTGATTAATGCCCTCCTTGCCTGGTCCGTGAGTTTTGGTGGGCGGCCCTCTTTTGGCAGGTTTGTTGTGGTGCCATATTCTTTCCATGTTTTAATAATGGATTTTAATGGTGCTCCATGGGATGTTCAAAGTTTCTGATCTTTTTTTATAACCCAACCCTGATCTGTATTTCTCCACAACTTTGTCCCTGACCTGTTTGGAGAGCTCCTTGGTCTTCATGGTGTGGCTTGCTTGGTGGTGCCCCTTGCTTAGTGGTGTTGCAGACTCTGGGGCCTTTCAGAACAGGTGTATATATACTGAGATCATGTGACACTTAGATTGCACACAGGTGGACTTTTTTTGTGACTTCTGAAGGTATTTGGTTGCACCAGATCTTATTTAGGGGCTTCATAGCAAAGTGGGTGAATACATATGCATATACCACTTTTCCGTTATTTATTTTTTAGAATTTTTTGAAACAAGTTATTTTTTTCATTTCATTTCACCAATTTTGACTATTTTGTGTATGTCCATTACATGAAATTCCAAAAAAAATCAATTTAAATTACAGGTTGTAATACAAAAAAATTGGAAAAACACCAAGGGGGATGAATACTTTTGCAAGGCACTGTAACAATCAAGCAAAGTTGATTAAATAATTCAGGTGTAGGTTTCCTTGTTTATAAAATGGATTTACAATGAAACACATAGATACGATTACACAAATGGCTTTTCAGATCTTAGTTACTTTCTGTATGGCTCTTGTCACGGTTTCGGCCGAGGCTGCCTCTCTTCCTTGCTCGGGCAGGCTTCGGCGTTCGTCGTCTCCGGAATACTAGCTGCCACCGTTGCATGTTTCTATGTTCGTTTGCTTTTGTCTGATTGTTGTTACACCTGTTATCGTTTAGTGTAATTAGTGTCCTATAAGTTCTCGTTGTGTTTGTCTAGTGTTGTGTGTTATTGTTTGACTGTCGTGCCGGTAGGCTGTTATTCTACTGTTTGCTCGGTTGAGCTATTTCTCCATATTGTTTGGAGTGTTTTGTCGCACCTGTTAGTGTGCCCGTTATTTTCGCCTACGTGCGGAGTTTTCGCCTCAGGGCATTTATTCGTGATTGTTTTTGTGTGCATCTACTAAAGTCTGTTGGACTAACGTTCTGCGTCCTGCGCCTGATTCCACCACCACACCCACCTACATCTACCTTGACAGAATAACACACCACAAGAATGGAATCAGCAGGAGCCGCAGCAGCACAGGCGACGCTGGAGGACCGGGTCCGCGAGCAGAATGACCAGATCCTGCGGATGGGGTCCGCACTGCAGGAGGTGATCACCACCATCCGAGGCTGGGAGACCCGAGGGACACCTCCACCACCATCCTCCCTGCCCGCACCATCGGCAAGTCAGCCCATTCCCGCTCCGGAACCCAGAGGAGTTCGACTCTCGCTCCCGAGGGCCTACGATGGGACCGCTGCCGGGTGTCAGGGATTCCTTCTCCAGGTGGAGCTTTACCTGGCCACCGTGCACCCGGCGCCCTCGGGACACGAGAGCGTGTCCGCCCTGATCTCCTGCCTTTCCGGTAAGGCGTTGGAATGGGCCAACGCAGAGTGGAGGAGAATCGACGCTACCACCATCACCTACGACGTGTTCTCCCGCCGCTTCAGGGCGGTGTTTGACCATCCCCCGGAGGGGAAAGCGGCGGGGGAGCGTCTGTTCTGCCTCCGGCAGGGGAAGAGGAGTGCCCAGGAGTTCGCCTTAGAATTCCGTACTGTAGCGGCGGATGCAGGGTGGAATGAGCGGGCCCTCATCGATCACTACCGATGTAGTCTACGTGAGGACGTCCGTAGGGAGCTGGCCTGTAGGGACACCAGCCTCTCGTTCGACCAGTTGGTCGACATGTCCATCAGGCTGGATACCCTGCTAGCTACCCGCGGACGTCCCGAGGGGGGTCCGTCCATTTCACCCTCCAGCGCCTCCGAGCCGTGCCCCATGGAGCTCGGGGGCGCTGGCGCTAGAGAGAGGAGGGGTCGGATGACGAGGGGGTCCATCTCCTGCACCAACTGTGGTCGGGGAGGACACACCGCGGCTAGGTGCTGGGGATGGCCTCCTAGGGGAGAAGACGACAGGTCCCGCACTGGGGAGTCCTTCCAGGTGAGTAGGCGCCCCACTCACCCAGAGCTCTCTGTTGCACACTTCTGTATGCCTGTGCGTTTTCCACAGGTAGCACCTCATTCCCAGCATAAAGCGCTGGTAGATTCAGGCGCGGCTGGGAATTCTGTTGATAAGAAATTTTGTTTAGCCTTAGGGATTCCCCTTCTCCCTGTTGACGTTCCCTTCCCCGTTCATGCCCTAGATAGCCGTCCGTTGGGTGCGGGCTTGATCAGGGAGGTCACGACGCCACTTAGGATGTGTGCGCAGGGGGGTCATCAGGAGATGATCCAGCTATTTCTGATCGACTCGCCTGCGTATCCGGTGGTGCTGGGCATGCCCTGGTTGAGTACCCATAACCCATCTATTTCGTGGCAGGAGAGGGCTCTGATGGAGTGGTCTGCCCAGTGTGTGGGTCGATGTTTAGGCGTTTCCGTAGGGGCTACCTCGGTGGAGAGTCCAAACCAGGTGCCCGCATTGCACGTTCCCCCTGAGTATGGGGATTTGGCTATTGTGTTCAGTAAGTCGAGGGCGACGCAGTTGCCTCCCCATAGGCAGGGAGATTGTGCGATAGACCTCCAGGCAGGAGTTGCGCTCCCACGGAGCCATGTGTATCCTCTGTCTCAGGAGGAGAAGAGAGCTATGGAGACTTACATAGACGAATCTCTGAGACAAGGATACATACGGCCCTCCACTTCCCCTGCGTCCTCGAGTTTCTTTTTTGTGAAGAAAAGGGATGGGGGGTTACGCCCGTGCAATGACTACCGTG